AAAGTAAAGAGGAAATCAGGGTTGAAAAATATTTTTAGAGTAAAATCGAAATTCTAACTCGATCCTCTTTGGTCAACATTCTGCCACATATGTATTCAAGTTAAAAAAAAAAAAACTGTTATAATTTATATTAAAAATAGTGTTTGGTTAAGAACATTCAAAAAATAATTAAAAAAATATTCAAAACCTAGCTAAAGATTTCAATTTAAACGTAAAATAGATCTATTCAAAATAAAATATATATATATATATATATATATATATATATATATATATATATATATATATATATATATATATATAATTATTTATTTAAAAATATGATTCCATCGCTACATAAGAGTTTTCATGTTCCAAAATATATATACATGCATATATATATATATATATATATATATATATATATATATATATATATATATATATATATAGAGAGAGAGAGAGAGAGAGAGAGAGAGGAGACTCTTTGTTAAAGCGAATCGAGTTCTCTCACTCATTGTGTGTTTATCTAAAAAAAAAAATAATTACACTTAAATTCACCTTCAGCTGCCCTGCTTAGGGGACAGAAACTACAGAGTTAGATGCACAAGACGATATAAAAAGCGTTGTAGGTTCTATCGACAAATTCATTAAGAAATTTTACAGGGAAATTGTAAAAGCAGTTATAGATGACAAAAAGCCAACATCTCTTGAAAAAAGTGCAAAATTTTTGGGAAAATATTTGGAGCATCCTAAATGAATATAACCCCAATGCTAAATGGATTCAGCGAGAAGAAAAAAATGACGAATAAACTTCTCCAAGAATGGGAAAATATAAACAAGAATAATGTGAAGCAAGCTCTAATGAAATCCCAAAGAAATTATAAGGTACCAATTTTTTTGGATCTGTCATCAATCCATAAAAACAGACTTTATCAATGATAAATAATAATTCCAATGAATTCCCAGAATGCATTACTGAAGGTATTACATATCTCTTACGAATAACGAGTGAAACAGATGATCCGAAAAATTATAGGTCAATAATGTCTGTCCACCACATATAAATTGATGACGTCTGTCCTGACGAAATGTACTTACTCATTTCTTAGTGAAAACACCATTCTTTCCTTTGAGCAGAAGGCATGTCGATAAAGAAAATTACCCTATAAAATTGCTGGAAAATAGGTAGAAATCTCAACACATGAAATAGATAATGAATAGATTAACGTAAAACATTTGATAGTCTGCCACACACTTGGATCATTAAGGCTTTGGAAATGTACAGAGTCGACGCAGGAATAGTAAATGTCCTTAAAAACAGCATGAGAATGTGAAAAACCACATACATATATCACACCAAAAGCCATTTCCAACTGCCTGAATATCCTACGAGGAATATTTTCACTGTCCTTAACCCCCCTTTGTTATGGACTAAAAATAATAGCTATGAATACAAAGTAAACAAGAAAAAAAAATCACCTACTATACACTGATGATCTCAAACTCTTTGCCAAAATCGACACTGTGTTGAAAGATCTCATCCGTACTGTACGATGTTTCAGTGACGATATATGTAGGGATTTCGGATTAGATAGATGTGCAAAAGTAACATTCAAGAAAGGGAGAATTACAGAAACACACTCACTAGATTTTGTCACAAAGATTACGGAACTGGAAAAAGTCGAAGCTTTTAAGTACTTAAAAATTAGCGAAGGAGAATGAAGAAAAACCGAATATCAGCCATAAACACTGTTTTCTGTACATGTGGTGCAATAAAGTTTCAACATCCTTGCTATAGCTGACAGTAAGCGAATGGACGCCAAAACGAGAAAGCTTCTATCTTGTCATAAAATGCATCATACTAAAGCTGATCTTGATCGTTTGTTTGTGCCCAGAAGGAAGCAGAGGATTTGTTCAACGAGTACTGTATTACAAATCTATAACAACCTGTTTTCAAAGATACCTGTAAACTACAGAAGACTGAATGATGATCTGTGTCAAAGAACATGAAAGAAGTAAGAAACTGTATTCAGTATTAAAGGAAGACAACAATTTCAAATTGGAGTTTCAAGTGGGTGAAAACAATGCAAGTAAATCATACTGAACCTTTTTTGCAGGGGCAAAAAATTTACAAAAGAATGCAAAGACAAATGCAGTGGAGTAGACATAGAAACCAGGGCAAGACAAACTTCTTCCCGGTCAATATTCTTCCTGTACCAAATAATCTTATGTAGACAAACACCGTACACATCAGAGGCTACGTATTGCAGAGTGAAAAACCTAAGGTTTTATTCTTGCTGCAAAGGACCGATGCTTATTAACTAGATAATATCAAACACACATACTAAAATATTGTGTTAGACCCAAATTCAGATTCTGTAATAAATATCCAGAAACAATTTTATCAGGTTTCACGTTATAGGAAGGTACAGAATGTAAATCTCAGCATGACAAAGTGGGCCAATATCTGCTTTGGAAAATCCCACAATTATTACGGAAAGGAAACTTCAAGCAATTGGTATGAACAATACTCAGACCTGGTTGCAGAGATAGGACCTGTAACAATTTTATGGGATTTTACAATAGACACAGAGAGACCAATCAAAGCTAATCGCCCAAACATCGTTATCAGAGACCGCTAAAATAAAATTTGCCTTCTTATTGACTTAGCTGTTCCTGGTATTATTTGGGAATCTGGACGTCTGAAACTATTTAGCGTGGCGTTATGTGTAACTGCTACTGGGAACGATACTGCATAAAAATAATATTTTATCTCTAGTATAATTCTTCATTTCAAACATCCCGCTTCCCAGAGAATGCCAGTCAATGTAGTCAAAGGAATTCTAACAAACAAATGGACACCACTTCGGTTTCTGATAATGATTGTGAAAATCGAAATTACGTGAACGGATATAACAAAATATGAACTTCGGACAGTTTATCCACAACTTCGAGCGCAGTACACAACGCCTCATCCGAAAACTAGAAAAATACATTAAAAAATGAATTTAAAAAGACAGGCCTTTTCGGGATTCTCAGTCAAACTTGTTTGAATATATAGAGAGTGCGATTAATAAATTACACAAAAAATGAAAATAAAACTGACATTTCTTTTTTAACAAATATATTTCCACAAAATTACACAAAAATATCTTGAAATACTAATAAGTACATTTATGCAATAAAATTACCATTGGCATCAACTACGACCTTCTGACGACTTTGGAATCTCATACAACTCTTCTGGACGGTATTCTTGTTTAATTTGATGAATGCTGCCATAATCCTGGTCTTCAGTTCATCATTGATGTTTCAAAGAGTTTTTTTGGTCACGCGTTCAACTGCGCCCCGCACATAATAAAAAAGGGAGTTTCAGTCTGGAGAATTAAGGGCTCAGATGTAATGGTTGATGTGGCCGCCTAAATTGTCTGACAGTCATGACTGGGTACTCCTGCTTGCGTGGCATGATGTGTCCTTTTGCCAGAAATAGGGTATTCCAGCAGCCAATCCCCTTGACCCACGGTAGCACTACCTCCTGAAGGCATTCCGTGTTGAGCCTGAGGTCGTCACCAACAAATTTGTGCATTCATTTCTTAGAACGATTAGAGTGAGTTTTTCGAGCTGCTGTAACTTCGTAATCACCATTAGACTCATCCATATCTTTCCAAATCTACTGCACTATCCTCAGAATGACACAAACTCTGAAATGTTTACATTGGAGATTCCGGCACGAATGCCTAGCATTGCAGTATGCTGTCTTCAAATTTCTGGCGAAGTGAATTGCATCGTGGAGCTCTTTTTTTCTCAAAGACGTTGCACAACTGACCCCACTATGCTGTACAGTCGACAAGATCAAAAACGATCAAAAACGAACAACGCGCATGCACAAAACTAAAAATATAAAATAGACATATGTCTATATTATTTAATGAAACCTGTTTGAATGAAAATATGCTGATTATATATATATATATATATATATATATATATATATATATATATATATATATATATATATATATATGTATGTATGTATGAATAAAGACAAAAGGAAAACTTATCTCATATAATAAAGATTCAACCACATTATATACATTCGTTTAATAGACTTTAAATCACGTCATTGATCTTCCTCCACAATTTACGTAGATTTTTCCGTTATCTGATGAATATTCATTATTGTCTCTAAAAGTTGCAAAAATAACAACGTTTTTTCTTTTTATAAATATTTCTTGCAACAAAAAAAAAAATAAATGAAATTATCATAGTTACTTTGATAATGTAAATCAGGTGACATTTGTCTTTATTCATATTGTCTTTTTAAAGATATAGTGTAATTATAAGAAAATTTCTTTGGAAAATATAAACAAAAAAATACACTTAAAAGAAAGATTATTCCGTTTGTAAAGCAATAATCATTATAGGGAGAGGAAGAATGAAAGAAAGAATAAATGCATAAATGAATGAAAGACAGAATGAATGAATGAATGAATGAATGAAAAAATGTCAGAAAATTCCATTCGAAAAATAAAAATAAATTTTCTTGAAAGAGCAAAAAAGATAATTCCGTTTGTAAGTTCTTATATAGAAAGAAAGAAATAATGAAAGAATAAATGAAAGAAGGAATGAAAGAATGAATGAATGACAGAAGAAGGAATGAAAGAATGAATGAAAGCAGAAAGAAAGGAAATTCCATTCGAAAAATAAAAAAAAACATCTTGATAGAGAAAAAGATAATTCTGTTTGTAAAACAAGGAGTCATAGTATAGAAAGAAAGAAAGAAAGAAAGAAAGAAAGAATGAATGCAACGAACAAATAAGAAAAACACAATTTTGTTTTGATTTTTTATCTAGAAAGAAAGAATGAATGAATGAAAGAACATTCCTCTTCAAAAATCAAATCATTTCTCTCTTGAAAGACAGAAATAAAGTAAAAGAGGGATTGTATAGAAAGAAAGAGCAAAAAGAAACAATAAATCTGGGAAGAAAGACAATTCAGTTGATTAAATCAAATAATAT